GTGCTTCGCCGCCGAGGGGAAATAAATCTTCCGAGCGATAAACAGTGCGACTGCTCCGGCATCATCAACGCGAGAATATTTATTCTTTTCGTGAAAGGCACCAGCGGTTGACCATCTAAGAAATCAGGTAGCAAAAATGTTTTTTTTTGTATTCGTAATTACTTTGAAACGGTTACGAAACCACGGCAACCTTGTATAAACATAATCTTGTAGTAGATCTTCTAGTAGATCCTGGTTTTGTAGGATGATGAGCAGTTGAAGATTCTTTTAATACAGGTTCTTAGTGTCAGTCTTTTGTCATTCTTCCATGGCTAAACTTTTCTGAAACAGTACCTATTAGATGACATATTTACTTGGTAGCCTATACATATCAATCATTTCGTTATTTCGACTTGTTGGATAGTTATTTAAGGATTTTGATGTAGTTTATATTATACGTATTAACTCACAATATGTAATTGCTTAACGTGTTTAATTCTATGAGCGTATGACTCGGAGATCAGAACACGAATGGACAACACAAGACCTCGAAGTCGTTAAGTTTATAATATACATAATAGATGTCGCGATTAGTAAATGGTTCCTACACGACTCAACTGTGTACATCATTTCTCTCTACTCAAATCGCTACCTTCGGAAACCTTAACTCGATTTTCCCTGCAAATTGCACACGAAAATTGTCCCTCGCGGTATCTTCAATCCCTGAAAGCAGTCTCGACCAGAATCCGAGACGAGGTCGCAACTTCGTCTGAAATCAGAAAATAAAACGACAGGATCCTCTCCCGCATCTGTCCCGCGCATTGTGCGAGTAATAAGCGCGTTGAAATTTGCTCAACGTCCACGCACGCTTCGCCGCGCAATTATTCCCACGTGCGAACGATTCAATGGCCGTCGCTAATGCGGCTCCTAACAGCGTCGCGCAACAATTTTCCGCGAGAATTACACGCAAATTGCGTTTTTACGCCGCGACGTGAACGGAGGGCCGAGCGAGCAAGCGTGCACGAGCTGTGCACGCCTGACACAAAGCGCGTATTGGCTAACTCGGTGCGTCGCGGATCCGCAACTCATCGCGTTTAATGCGTCGAAATCCGTCGCGCGGCGATTCGTTCTAAATCGGGGGTCGAGAGACTTTTTCTTGCGGGGGCGAACGATAAAAAAAACAGCATAATGGAGCTGGGCAACGATTTTGCAGAGTTTTCCATCTGTTCGCTTCCGAAAGCCTCAAATTTTCTCGGTTTGGGTTGCTTGAGCGTGTGATCAGTAAAAGTTATCATCTTGGAGTTTTCGATTTTTTAATGAACCAGTGGTTAACAATTGTGCCGAGTTTTCCATCTGTTCGCTTCGGAAAGCCTCAAATTTTCTCGGTTTGGGTTGCTAAAGCGTCTGATCAGTGAAACTTATCATTCTTGAGTTCTTGATTTTTTGGAGAACTACTTTCGTGGTATACCTTCAGTAAAACGGACTAGTACGCATGGCGCATTGTGTCCACAACACACTGAGAATAACTGTGTTTAAAAAGAGATTGCAAAATTTCGTTAAAGTGTACATCCATTTGCAAATGAAACAGCTGGACTCGTAACGAAACTTTCATAATCTACCATGCTTTACAGATGTACACTTTCTAATCAAACATTTCCAAACCATTGCTAATTCCAGTTAAATTTCGAGTTTCGCTAATTTGTTCTCTCTGCTTTCCACTTTCTGCGTTCATTCGAAGTGGCCATTCTCGAAGGGTTGAAAATCAACCATACCTTGCAAGTAAAACCTCCAGTTTCCAATCTGGATGACCGTGCAAATCGTCGAATACGCCGCATAGATCGATCCGCGTGGAAAACGAGCGGAGTTGCGGCGAAATTATCAGATCAGCGACGGAGGGGGTCACCGGAACGCGGTCAACCCCCTTTGACGCAGCGCCCCTCATTGGCACTTGAGAATAAACAAGAGGCGATCGATGGACGAAAGAGGGTGGAATCGAGTGTCTATAGAGAAAACGAACGCTCTATAAATTCTTTTGTAATCGCCGCCACTTCGCGTTCGCCGTCGAAACCTTTTCAGCGGTACGTGGAATCGATGAAAATCGGTTGGTCATACTCGCTCCCGCTTTGGACTCGATCATTCGGGGTTCGGACTGAAATTGGCGTTTTCGGGAATACTGGGGTGACTGTCCGAGTAACTCTTTCACTCTTCATAGACGTATTCTGAAACGGAGGGTTGGAATTAAGCAAATGGAGCACATTTGGTGTTGTACGCAACTTGGAAGTATTTACTGCTATTATCTGTCTCACTTAAGCACGCGTTGAGAAATACTGCATCAGTTTTCTAGAGTAATCCGTAATAATATTAGAGACGCGAAAGTAATTTCGTCTGTCTGTTACCTTTTCACGTGTCACCTTTTAGCTGCAATAAGGACGCATGCTACATTTTATTTTGATAAAAATAAGGTTTCGGTTCGAGATCTCAATATAGTAAATAAAGAATCAGAAATATCGATTGAAGCATCTGTGTTACGGAAAACAACAGACAGTCACTGACTGGTTCGCGAAGATGTTCACGTGGTTGAACTGTCAGTCGAACGCAAACGACATCGAATAAAAAGTATTTCACGAGGGTGAAACCGCGGAGCGTAGCTAGATCTTTATTGTGAAGAACTGTAGTGACGTTGTTTTTTTCTGTATCTAGAAACTTCAAATTTAACATGTAGATATGTAATATAGAATAAGAATTCCAAGCGGGAGAAACCACGGGGCACAGCTGGTAAAAAGTATACATAGACGGTTCTGTCTAATCACGCGCAACTAATTAAAATGCACAGAACGAGGAAGTAAGCTACTCGGTCAGCCAAATCCGCCCCAGAAATCCTCCGCGATCGCGCTGCCCAGTACCTCCAGATCGACCTAAACAAGAATAATAATCCCTCTGACTGGAGCAGGAACATCCAATCGCGTTCTCCGCCAACTTAGGAATCCTGCCCTCGATTCCATCGCTCTTGTCACGCGTGGCGAACGCGTTTCTTCGAATCAGCGCATCTCGTGGGCCACCTAACCGGGTGTGTGGGTCTCCATAGACCCCCCATCCTGTCGCTCGAAAGAGCAACACGCTACTAGCTACCATTTTGTTGAGTGAACTGGGTAGTAGTCGTATAATGTCCTCCTTTGCCAGTGGAAGCGAGACAAACGACCATCGGAAAGAGGGTCTTGGTGGGACAGGGGAGGCAGGTGGATGCCAGTGAGTGGTATCGAAGAGAGAAGTCACTTTCTTATTTCCATTCTTAGCAGCGTTCTTTCGAATCTCGACTGGGCAATACCAACGGCCACCATCTCGCAGCATCCCACCTTCTTCCACGACGAGTCCCCACTACGCATGGGCTGGATCGGTTGGCACCCGTGGTCGACGGTGGAGGTGGCAGTGGTGGCGGTAGCTCTACCTGGCTCTAGTTCGCCCACCTTCCTCCTCGTTTCGCCTCTCTTCGACACCTTGGCCGATCTCGTTCTCTCTCTCTCTCTCTCTTTTGAAACCACGACCCACCCCCGGCGTGTATCCGCTCGGTGCAACGACGCGACGCGGTGTATTACGTGGACGCAAACAGGTCTCCATTATCGTCGAGAATCGGAAATTATTGCCGGGAAATTCTGCTCTCCGCAGATCTGCTGCTGTGTCTCCAAGACAGCGATTTTTCGGAGTCGCTGGAACGGATACGGTCAATTTGTTTATTCACGGGTCGATCGTTGAATTCTTGTTTGGGTATCCATTTTGGACTTGATTTAAATTTCGACCCTGGTTTTTGAGTCTTATTGGTAGAAAGAAGTGAGTAAGAAGTAAGAAATCTATGCTAAGGTTAAAGTAAGTGGAAGCTAAATGGAGTAAGTTTAAATTTTGATACAATTTTGGTTAAGTTCGATTGTTTAAGGATGTTTAATCTAGTATTGATAGTATTTTAATGATGGAAGTACCAAGTAGTCTGGGCCAGTTTGACTGACCATCTAGCATTTGTGCTTTTATTTTTTAACCTCATCGTCTTTGCGGATACTATTTAAATTTAATTTCCATAATACCTCATCTCCACAATTATTTAGTTCCTTAGTAAAAAGGATCTGTCATCTACACATGCGAGCAATGCGATGATTAATGTGTTGAGCGAGACTAAGAATCAAATGCCTTCTATTCTTTCTGTGACTACCTTAGTATTTGCGTGTACTTGACCTGGGACTCGTGCGTTAAGAGAGGGTCGTAATAGGATGCCTGTGAGACAAGACCGTCATTAGCTAACAGGTGGTGCAGTTTATGGCTGTCGATTAGTAGCAACACAGGGGGTGCCAAACATCTTAGTTAACAGGCTTAGGTCAACAGTGATAATAAACCAAGTAATCCTCCCTAAGAATTTCCATCTTTCTATGAATATCTTTCCTAATACTCGAGTCAGCTACATCTCGCGCCACCTGACAACACCTCAATCGATAAAGGAACAAACGATATTCCGATAAAGTCTCGTTATCCCCTCCTATAATACCGTAAGACATTTCTCTTCCTGAAAAAGAAACCAGATCACAGAAGGGGACCGACTGGTCGAAGAACCGCTCTCGTCGATACTCACACCTTTGTCCGCCGAAAATGTAACGGAAAAAGGAGCACCCGGATGGCCGATCGTCGGAAAGAAGATTCGCGTGGCGGTGGCCGCGAGTTCGCGGAAAGACGGGGCGAAACAAGGAGAAAAACGCGGGAGGGTGGTTGCTGACGCGAACTCGGAGGGAAAAACGACGCTGCGAGGGAGACGGCGCGATCCAACGAGAGTGGGGAGAACACGGGAAACGCGGGTCGTTCTCGTTATCGACGGCTTAGGGTGATCAACCAATGGGAGAGGCCAGCGATACCGCGTTTACCTCGTGGCCCCCGCCCATCCTGGTCGCTTATTGGACCGCGTACGCTTTTCCCGCTCGTGGATCCGTGGTGGGGTGAGCTGTGTGCTCTGCGCGCCGTGGATCGGGTTCTGGTGACGGGTCGTGCGTGCACACTCCCAAAACTATCGTCCGCGGTGGCGCATTGAACGTCGTTCACGTCGCGTTCGTCCTCGTGTTCCTCGAGAGTCCAGTTTCCATGCGATCCCACCGTAACGCTCGCTTCCCCTGTCGCTGACAATTAATCCTCGACAACCCCCGATCGGGAATGCCGTCGTTCGAACGGATGGTCACGCGTCGCGACGCGGACGTCTGATCGACACCGACGGAGAGGAGAAGCTACGAACTAGTGTGCCCGTGGAAAACACAGTGATCGAGACTCGAGTGGATGGCCTGATTTATGACAGTGCAGTGAATCCGCTGTTGTTGTTCGGTTTATCGTATTCGCGTTCCGTCTTGGACGCGCCGAGGGAACCTTTCAAACGTTCGAGACGACAGAGTGAGACGAGAGTCTCGACCACGGCAGCAAAATTGAGCTGGACTTGCACCAACGGGCCGCCGGCCACTTTATGAGGTGAGTTTTAGCGCCTTAAGTGGAACGGCTGATTTCGGAGCAGTGATACTTGACCGTTAACTACAGGTGTCCGTGTATGTGTGCTTAGGGTACGCGTTGGGTATCGAATCGATGTGCTTTTATCAAGTGTTGTGTGGTAATATGAAATCGAAGTAGTTGTTTGAAATTATCGAAGAGAGTTGTCGATTTTTAAACCCCATTTTACGTAACCTGTCACGAGTGAAGTTAAGGGTTGAAATTTGTAGACTCTTGTAATTTTATTTAGACGAGGATTTTTATCATGTTGCACTCTGGAAGTTTCTATAAGATCGTTTATGTAACAGGGAGAGTTCACGTTTTGGACTCAAAATACTATAAGCATCTGTTTCAAGGCGATCTTGTGCTCCAATGTTTAAACGTTACAAGTGTTCCGTTTGCTAAATTTCGAAATGTTTACAGTGCATAAGTTTGTTTCGTGTACCTAACCATTTCATAGCCTCTGAAATCCATTCGGAGCGTCTTTCAAATCGGAGCAGAGACCGAATTCTAAGGTGGGAAGTTCGTTGGTTAATTCAACACCGAGTATAATCCGAAATACCGTACGTTTTATATCGAATCCTTTACTATTATCGCTGTGCGACGCAAAACAATTACAGTATCCATTCAGATAACTGCTAATCGATATAACTGACAACTTTAGAGATATGTAAAATATCTATTAAAAGTACTAATTCGCTCGAATAATGTTTACAAAATAGCCTTTTACTATAACTCTTCGCTCTTTAAAGAATTGAAACAATAACGAAACAAACACGTAGCAATTCTACTCGAATGATACCTCAAAGTGACTCTAGATTGTCGAGAACCGACAAAATTTTAATCTCGCGCTTCGCTCCAATTCAAAACGGCCTGTTTACTTTGTCATTGAGAATGTGTACTTCCTATCGCGCCACAGTTCTCGTGTAAAGTTTTGATTACATCGTCGCTTAATACCCGACAATTCTCAGAATGTCGACCATTCAATCCGCGTTTGGTGATGTAAACACGGTTAGTTAGGTGCTTATCAACGCCGACGGTGACCCAGATGCTCCTTGTTTACGCTCCTTGTATATCAGCAACTTAAACGTGTTTTCTGTTCGCGATCGAAAGGATATTACATAGAGACTAGCTTATTTGCTCACCACTGCTCTATGATATTAACATTTATTCATGTTGCCTAACAGGTTGTATTGAAACTTGTGAAACACATATTCAATTCAGCCATAAGCTGAATATACTGTATTTTAATATGTCGTTACTGTACTGCTCTTAAGAAATGATGCATAAATGATAATATTATAGAACGCGGAATTATGTTGCCGTTTCATAAATGTAACCAATTGCATACCTCTCCTGGTTATTATTTATTTTCTCCGTTTCGTGGTTATTCTACAAGATTTAAGTATATGAGTTGCAAATACATGATTGTTTACTTTATAGCACCATTTTCATAATATATAGGTATATACTCTTTATATATACTTTTTTTATACAGCAATTTGTGTATTACGTATAGGAGCTGGCGCCATAAGGCAGAAACATTGCAAAATACGGTGCTTGATATAACTAGATCGAGTACGCGTAGGTTCTATTGTTTCACTTTGGAGCGACAGTTTTGTTTTGCGCTGTAACAGCTAGTACATTGTTCCAAGATGAATTGCGAGTTGATTAGAATTCAAGTCGACTCTTTTTCACGCGAAACAACCCTTCGGTCTCCGAGGACTCCTCTCAACGACCATTTCAGAGCCCTTTAGAGTCGTCGCTATTCTTTTCATCTGTAATACAAATACCAGATAACCATATACTACTTAATACTGACTGGTTAATGATAAAGTACACTTTAGAATATGATATCGAATTGGATGCATAAATCATCGACACCGATTTGGTCTTTTATCATCGATAACAGTTTTAATTTGAACTCCAAAATGAACAGTCGCTCAAATTTCCTCCACGTCAATCTATCAACGATAATCCATAAAGCAACGTAGTGTCACAAAATTTCAGAACAACAAAATCAATTCATGACTTTAACGACTAATCGTCACCCTCGCTTTTACGCGTACGAGCAGCGTCCAGCTCTCCATTAAAATTGCCGAATAGAGCGGCGCAAAATAAATTGCGACGCGTGCGCGCGATTCGAGCCGGGGTCTAAACATTCAATTAGCACTTCCTAATCCCCCGTCGCTCGTTGTCAACAGCCATTACTTCCAGCATCTTCTCTCCTCTCCGTTGAACCCACCCCCGAGCACCCTCTTGGGGTCTCACTCGTAAGCAACCGCGCGCGCTCGTTGCTCTCCCACCCCGTTGGTCCTCGCTAACCAACGTATCTATTAATCCAGGGTTGAATGACACTCGAGGGTGGCCCGAGGGGTGATTCTAACCCTACAAAATCGTAACTACCGCCCCCGGGTTAACTCCCTCGACCACTACAGGTTTTTTTTTTCTCTCTTCTTAATGAATGCTCAAGGAGATCCGCGCGTAATTGTATTAGTTCGAGAGGAGAAACGAGAGAGAGAAAAACAGAGAGAGAGAGAGAGAGAGAGAGAGTGGCTCGAGGAGACGCAAAATGGTGAGAGAGAAGGGTGCACGCGGGGCGAACCCGAGAAGTAGAAGCCCCGAGAACGAAGGGTGACATTTAGGGTAAAAAGACGGAGGAGAGAGGGCCGCCAGCCAACCCGACGAGCTGAGATTGGTTAATGGCTTTGATACGAGGAAAGGATAAGATTAATTTGCTTGCGAATCAAAGAGCAAACGAATAAGCAATTACCGGGACCGTGAGGAGTGGCTGCACGAGTGCCCTCGCTCGGTTCTTCTGCGTGTCGGTGGCGCACAATTAAAAGCCACCGAACCGGAGGAGCGCGTGGGTTTATGGAAATCCACGCGGCCAAGGGGAAGTCAAGGCGAAACGTTTTTGACGGGATTCGTGGAGGATTTTCGAGGTTAGACGATTCTTAGATATCCGGCTAATTACGCGGAGGCGGAGCGGTGAGGATTCTCGCATATGAATACGAAGCTAGAGGATTCAAAACCTTCAAGTTGAAGGCTTTAGAATCTGAAAGTGTCGGGATTGCGTTTAGTAAACTGGGACATGGAAAGGATTTGCGAAATTTATGTCTATGAAAAGATGCAATGGTTTCATTTGTTTGAAAAGTGGTATATGCGTTGTTGGTTACTTCAATAAGGAGCATGAAGGGGTTGGTTTAAAGTATTTCAACGTGTGTAGTACTTTTTTGGCTACTAAATTATAATAGTCGCAACATCCATCTATAATAAACTATGCTCGTTTCAACTATATTTAACCTCTCGTAGAACGAATTTTAAATGGACCTTTAGCTTTAACCAGTCAGCTGTGGCGTCCTCTTTTCAGAGTGCGCACCTATGAATGCTGTGAGAATCAAGCAATGGCTACATACATATACATCTATGGACGAGTATACTCGTCACGGTACAAAATACTGCCACTTCTCCATGACGAGTACACTCGTCAAACACAGCTGATTGATTAATTAAAAGCACGCAAACCAAAGCAATTTTTACCTGTAAATCAATGTTAACATGCAAATACGCAGTCGTCCTTTAATATCGTATATTTTTTCATTCCTAAAGATGACCGTAAATGACGGTAATTTTAATATCAAAACAAACGTACGCGCATGTGTCAATATTCCTCGAGAGACTAAATAACATTCCCTTTCGTTATTCATAACTATCTACTACCTGTCGTACCGTTTTGCAAAAACTCTGGTCCAGAAACATCCTTCCAACGAACCCCGAGACCTACTCAAAGACTAAATATGCGAGATAACGTCGCGGAGGTCGTGAATCACGAGTGGGTTCGTCTCCGACGGCGTGCGTCGAAACAATAGACTCTCGAGATCTCTCCTCTCCATCGGTCACTCGGGGGTGGCCGTGGCCGTTTTCGCGTAGGCGTGTCCCACGAACTCGCCCGTTGGGGTTACTAATTGGTGGGTTGCGTTTAATTACAGAGCCGGTGGCAACATGTGCGACGGCTCCTTCACGGAGACCCTGCGCGGTATGCAGGGCATGTCGGGCACGTCGCCTCCTGGCGGCGGGGGGGTTGGACCCATGGGGGTTGGCCTCGGCAGCCCTCTCGGCCCGGCCACGAAGAAGGCGCAGGTGGAGCACATCAAGAGGCCGATGAACGCCTTTATGGTCTGGTCGCGGCTACAGCGACGGAAGATCGCGCAGGAGAACCCGAAGATGCACAACAGCGAGATCTCGAAGAGGCTTGGTGAGTGATACGACTTCTGATATGACTTCAGCTGTGGACTTTAGGACTGTCATCTGAAAATGTATTAGGCCGATCGCACACGGCGCAACCGATCAGTTTCACACCACTTTGAATCTAGTTGCATGCGACCGTGGATCTAGGTAAAATAAAGATAGTGGAATAGGTAAAACAAAGAGCGCAAACGGTTTGCAACACTAATTTCAAATCGGTTGAGCCGTGTGCGATCGGCCTTATACTCTTAACACTGTGCCGTCCGCAGGTCAAATCGAGATTTTTTCGTTTGGCGCCGGTAGGACTGACTGATAGTTTTCGCATGGCACCACAGTGGTGCCACCGGCATTTGCCCCATAGTTTTTGCATGGCACCACAGCGGTGCCACCGGATGGCATAGTGTTAACGCGTTTAATGTTGCGTGTAAAGTCATTCAATTGTTTTCTTTTTTGTTTTGATTTTATGGTGGTGGTTATGTCTGTTCAAAGTTTCTCTAATCGTCCTTCAGGCTACGGAAGGTGCTGATAATGTATAGCTAGGATTCGTGAGGTAGGGTAAGAGTACGCAGTTGATAGCTGGGATTGGCTGTGGAACAAGAGTGATTCACTAGGATGCGAGGGTTTTCAAGTATAGATAGATGATAGGATTCGTTAAAAAAAAAATTGTCATAGACATGTGAAGCCTCTTGTATGTAATCCGATATAGAGTACGCGACGAAGTTGATTCACTGACCAGTTTGATCTGATAGCCCAGTAAAATAAGAATTGTTGCATTTTAAATTCGATCTTCGTAAGAAACAAGTTCGGTTCATGTAGTAAAACGAGTATCGAATCTCACTCCTGGAGGATCGATGGAAATTCAGATCGTTAAACAACATTTCCTATGTACGTTATTTTATCAAAACTTGACCTATTAATCAGCCTGGAATAATATTCACAGTACCTACTTGAAAATTGTTTTATAACTGCAACTTGGCGACACAGTATTTATCGAAGCACAGCAACGTAACCGTTAGCATATCTTTAACGATTCGTTTGTCAGATAGTTTTATTTGTCAAACATTATATAACTTCCGTCATCACTTAGTCATCCCCGATGAAAGAAAAGCCAACTCTAGACTACAAAGGAATCGTCGAAGATGGTCGAGCGTTCCATTTGGTATTCAACTACATATCTTCCGTTTGTTATTTCCATTTCTATTCGTAACGTAACTTTGTTCGGTTCGCCCGAGTTCGGTTTTATTCATGATCCCATTGCTAATATTAGACCCACCGCTGTTCTCAATTAGCCGCGGTCTCGCTGGTTGGTAATTTCACGAACTAACTTTTTCTGTTTTCGTCATTTGCATAAGTCAACAGGAAATAAAACCCGTGTGAACGATTGCGCGAGCAAAGGAACTGCACATGGCTATTCGTGTCAATAGAGGAGCCCGGACGAACTTTCCACGACTGCTTTTCTGAAACTTAAGACTCTTGTCGTGTTCTGTAGGAAACAGAGTCGGAACAAAATGTTCGTACTTGAAAAAGAGAAAGAAATTGAACTAAATGTCGCGTGTGAAGTCATTCGATTGTTTTTCTTGTTGGTTTTGATTTTATGGTGGTGGTTAGGTCTGCTTAAGTTCTTAAGTGTTTAGGTTCTTAGATGCTTAGGTTCAATGTTTCTGAATTAATTTTAACGGCAGTGTCGATTAGTCGTGTTATACACCTAGTATTAGTCGTTCGGTGGTTGCTTGCAAGTAAATGTTATCGTTCACCCTATTTATGATATGTATAATATGTATAAGTCTGGCTAGTGAAAGGGTAAATCTTGTTTGAAGTAGTTAGAAACAGGAATGATTTCAGAACGGTAAGATTGTAGGATTTTCTCGAGATACAATTTCCGACCATACCTCTAAGTGGCGCGATTTTCGAAACTCTCTTCCGTTTGCCCTAGCGCATTCCCAGCCAAGCGCGACGCCAGATAGAAAGCATTGAAAAAAGCGTTTCCCTCCGCAAAAACGCAGCCAGCAAAAGCTCGTTCCCGGGAACGAGCGAGAGTGGAAAGAAACACGGTCGCCGGAAACACACGGCATTAATCGCATTTTGGACGATCAAACCCCGAGGATGGTTACACGTTCGAACGCCAGCGTTGATTTCATTCGTGGCGCGCGAGTTAAGCTCTGTGTTGCGCCCGGTTCTCCTCTCGTCGTCGCATCATTCATCCCTTTCAAAGTTTCCTTGCTTTGCGCTCCCGACGGTCCGGCGGCGCTCGACACGCGCTCGAATAATTCGTTGCTCGCGATACAGACGAGTGTACCGAGGGAGAAGAAAGGAGATAAAGACGAACGGGGACGAAGGTATTCCGGTTGGTATTTCCGTTAAATACCCGGGAATCGACAAAGCCCCGTTTCCCGCGGCTCCCCTCGAAGCTTCTTTATCCGTCATTTTCTTCCACCTCGGCTGGAGCTCCTCTTCTACCCCCGTTTCACGTTCCCCCGGCGACGACGAATAAGGGAAGTGCCTGCTCCTCGGCAAAAATGATGCGCGCACGCTCGAGCCCACCTCCCTCCGCCGCGGGATTCCACCCCCTTGGGTTTCTCGCGGCTCTCCTCTCCCTCTGGTCCTCCTCCTCCTCCCACCTCCCCCTTTCTCTTCCCTGGCTTACACCCTTTGTTGAAGCGACACTTTTTCGTCGCTCTTTTACCGCCATGTCCCTGCCATTGCGTATATTTCTGCTTGATATACAACTACGCTCTCCTACACCTCCCCCCAACCCTACTCTCTCTCTCTCTCTCTCTCTATCCAGATATCTTTCTCTCTTCTTCTCTCTCCCGGCTTGTTGGAGCATTTGCAAATTTCATCCTGCAACCCTCTCCCCCGCCATCTCGAGCTTGAACCGCCACTCCTCCAGCCACGGTCGCTCCTTTTCCGCACGATCCGCCCTCCGCTGCCATCCCCCGACTACCCCCGCGCGACGATCAGCCACGACGACGACAAAAGATTCGAGGAACCGATGTACTCTGCCGAGCACTCTCGACTCGTTCGCTGGAATCGCGCGCTGGAATGCCGTGGGTCCGCTTTTCTTCGATGCCTCCTCGGGAACCGCGAGGAAAATGTTAACTCCTGTGAGTCGGTTTCCTGCGAGCGTTTGCTGGCATGTAGAACGCGAGGGAGGCGAATCAAGGGTGTAATACATCGTCAGGGAAATAGAATGTTTTTTAATCGCCGAGGGAGGTATTGGGAGGAGGGGAGTGGATTGTATCAGATTTTGCAAAATTTTCTTGCGATATCTAGGATGGTGTATCCGAGATGTATCTAGAGGGTGGGTCTGAAATGTTCTTGGTCTCCATCGTTAATGTCAACACTGAAAGCGAGATTTATTTTTCTTAAGTGAGAGGGTGTTTAGAGGATCTCATCGGTTTTTGCAAAATACTCTCGCGATTTCTAGGATGGTGTAAGTAGGTGGGTCTGAAAAGTTCTTAGCGTCCATCATGAATGTAAACACCGTAGGCAGGATTTCTTTTGATCACGTACGCATAGCTTTCGTGAGCATGCATTTAAACTTGCCATTCAATCCCCAATTGATTTTTATAGTTCTATAAAAATCTATCTGCTCTAAAATCTGCTCTATCACAGTTCTCTACCAAATCACAGTAATTAAAAAGTATCGAGAAATTAGAATATTTACTCTACGAACTCGTTCAACCGCGAAGCCTGCAACGCGTTTGACCAGCCGTTTAGTTTAATTGTCAACAAAGTGCAAACTTTTCGGTCGTTCGACTAACCGAACCGTATAGTCACGTGCTTGTGCAACTCACGCTTCGATGCAAGTGACTATATAAAAATGGACAGTGTTTGTCAAGCCTGTGCAAACGAACGCTCGCTGACTCGAAACGGCTTCTAAATAGGAATTTCACTTGCTGCGAAAGTTGACGAGTTTTGTAAAATGGCGAATTTATGAATTCTAAAACCGCGCGGAGAAGGCTCGTTCGAACGTGTGCAGCTTAAATGCGAATAAAAAAGCGCTTTAAAAAAATTGAATACTCATTTTCTGGTTTCGTAGCAACCCAATGCAAATAATTTACGGTTAAATGGCACGTGTGTTAGAGTGGATGAACAAAATTCATGCGTATAATAGAAGGTCACTTGGTGCAGCAAGTTGCATTCGCGTGTTACAATCGCGGATATCGAAAGTAAACGTGTTCGAAGCGTTTCCTTACGAGACAAAGTTTAACCGAATATTCTATAAAATCAATGACAAATTAAACATATCGGGAGGTAGGATGTTTTAAATAATATATTTTATCGGTGTTGGTACGGACCCTTGTGGATCCGATAAAAATATAAATAAGCGTCGATTCCGATGGTTTGGTCCACTGATTCAGGATCATCTTCAGAGTTAAAGAATTTCAATCTGCAATAGTCGTGGCTACTTGGATATACATAAATAATTGAGGAAAAGAAATCTAGAATTATTAAAGAAAAATTGACTTAAGAGTAAAAGAGACCTTCTCATATTTTAAATAACACCTTTGGCTACTAAATTGTCAACATCTCAAGTAGCTACTTTATTTTGTACAAAGGATCAATTGTTCTCACATTTAATGAACGCGTAACTTTCGCTATCGCAAGTATTGAAAAAAATTTTTTTTTTAAATTCTCCCTACGACATGTCCTGCAAAAAAAATATTATTATTATCGTTGTCGGTCTTGTTTAATATTGGCATGTCGCCATTGGCGTGGACATTTCACTGGCGAAACGTCATCGATAGCCGCCGTTCAGTGCCAATTTTACGATGTCGATTAGCAGATGACCGTCCAACGTTTATCTTTCGGCTGGGCAGTTGGACACGTTTCACGATCTTCCTCAGAGTGAAAACTGTACCGGAAGCGAGATTGAGGGTGCGTCGGGACGGTTTGTCGAGTAAGCGGTCCATTGGGAAACGGTCGAAGCTAATCTGGTTATTGGATGTTCCTGCGAACCGTCGCGAGCGTGGCGTGTTTCTGTTCCGTAAACTTTTCGATCCTCCC